TTCCAGGCGTCTTGGGATCCACCAACGACCTTAGGAGTCTGGACCTCTCAGCCAGCCCACCTGGTTGGTATCGACGGAAAAGTGCGAACATCACCTCTGTAGAGCTCGTAGTCCGGCTCGCCAGAATCTCTGACCTCACGCTCGAAGGCACCGCATTCAGCAACATCAGATGACCCCTCTGCTCCAGCCTCGACCATCCACCCGGGCGCTCCAACAGTGCTCGAGGTCGCACGTAGAGCTTCTGGACCGGTTCAGCCTTCAACCATTCTTGGTACGCCTCCATCGCTGACCTCATGACCTCCTCCCACCACATCCAGCTGTTGGTCGAAAGGTCTTTCATGGTTGGAGTGACCAACTGGATCCAATCCCCCAGGATTAGGCTTCCCAAGTCACCCTCCTTGAGGTCGGCTAAGGGCGGCAGGTCCACCGTCCTGATGTTCTCTCCCATCCACGACGTGCCATCTCCTGAGCCCTGTCCCAACTGTCGCAGTACCGTATGTGCTGCCTGCTCCAGAGGCGAGCTCGCCTGGTGAGCTCTGCTCTGCGATGCCTCGGGTAGATGACAATCTCCTGGGTCACCTGGTCGTCGACCTGCGGGTTGTTGCCCTCTGCCATGAACTTCCCAAGAACCTGGCACTTGAGGTACTCCCGAACGCTGATCTTGAGCAGGCCATAGCGCCCAGTCTTCTCCTCTCGGACCTGGTGTCATTGGCACCATACCGCTTGGGAACTCCGGCATCTTCCCAAGGTCGACCCATGCCTGACTCTCGAAAGTCCGATCCGGAGTCTTCGGCGGTGGCCCCTTCGGAGGTGAAGGTGGTGGTGTACTTGACGGTGGTTTAGGCTTCTGATCCTTCACCTCCTTCAAGTCCCTGGCTTCCACCTTCTTCTTCAACTCAATCAACTCTTTCTTCAAGGCGGCATTCTGCGAGAGGACAGCCTTGAGCACCTCCTGCACATCCACGAAGGTCCCCTGGCCGCCATCATCAGGCTCCACCCGGCTAGCCGCACCAGTCTCCTCCGTGGGTCCCAGTGATGCCGGCCTCATCGCCCTCAGTAGCGCTTCCCCTTGGATCCTCTCCGACCAGAAGGGGTTCACCTGAACCGTCGGCTGACCCGAGCCTTGGCCCTTTCCATCTCTCTTTCGACCTTCTTCCCTCCGCTGAGGGCCATACGAAGTCGGAGGTCCTAGAGGGCATAGGTCTCGAGAGGCCGCCACCATCGCTCCTTCACTTGGGCCGATGTCCTCCAAGGCCAGGACCCCACCTTCCTCCTTCGCGCTCTCCATGGAGGAGGCGCCTTCTGGCGACTCCACCCCGCCGGTGGGCTGCGCCTTCTTCGAGCCGCCGGCCGCACGCGACATGGCGGCCAACTACCGTGTCGCTCACCCAGCGATCACGGGTGGTCTTCCTAAGACCGAAAAAGGAACCTTGGGCTCATAACCCGCGTGTGCTCGAACGGCACCTTTTCTCGGACAAAAAAGGCTTCAGTCATTCACTTCTCGATTTGTGCGTTGCACATCGAACAACTTGGTACACTTCTCAACCTGTGCACCTTCTTCAAACTTCTATAGCTAGGTACACTTCTCGATTTCATGTACCAGCAGATCAAACCGGCTGGCACTATCCTAACCCAGACAAAGCTGGAGCCACCTTTGCAGAGGCCCTTGGAGATGGGACTCAGACCCAAAATGCAGACAGGATCATTCATGCCATTGACGGGCTGCGAAAGTCACATGACGAGGACAAGGGACTCCAAAAGGGCCTCTTGACATCCGTCAAGGAAGGAGAAAAGATGGACGTTTTCTTGGCTCGAGGATGCGGAACTTTGACTGTGGAGGTTGCAGATGGAGTCTATGGGAAAGAACTTTTCCATGCTGGGAAGAGAATTGCGCAACACGCACGCCATATGCTCCACCTCATCAAGTGGCCGGTTTTGATGACCAATCGTGTGTTGCTCGGCGTGGCCGGCTTCTGGTGGGGCGGGACAGACGGGTATACGCTCCACGCTAGTGACTGCGTCACTGCCCGATCTGAACAGATGGATAGCTGGGTGCCTTCCTCAGACCACAAAGCGGAACCAAGGGTCAAACCCCCAAGGGGTCTTTAACACGTGGTTGAGGTATGCCGAGAACTCGATCCGAGTTTTCGGCGCCTGCTATGGCCTTGAACATATGCAAGAAAGGCAGGACTGCCTGAACTCCATTAAGGAGGCACATGAGGAAGATGAACATGCGTTCCCAGCCAAGTACTGCATCGATCTATTTGAAGAGTTGGTAGCAGCATGGTGTGAAGAAGTGAGAGAGTCACGGCGAAAACTCTGTGCTCTCCTAGGGTCCGAGAATCCACGGTTGGAAGACCTCAAGCTAGTCGCATTAGCTCCGGGACCGGACGGTACTCCCAACTTCAGCTTCCCCAATGTCTTTGACCTCTCCGATTCGGAGGGCCCCACCTCCCGCAGCTCCTGTAGAAGGGTCCAACCGACCGCCAAAAGCTCAGCGGAAGATGAACCGGGAGCCCCAGCCATATGAGGCTACTGGGGGGAGAGAAGACTTGCGCCCACCATCATCTGGTCGAGTCAAAGACGACATTGGTCCCCATGAACCAGCTGAACAGCAGCTTTCAGAGCCTTGTGGGGCGCCCAGCGATATGTCTTGGCAGGAAGCTCACGATGACGACTTTGCGCAGGTCCACATCGAGGAAGAAGAGTCCGACGAGCTTACCGAACACGAGTTCGACTCGAACGTGGACTGGGACGAACCAATGTGGCCCGATGCTCAGGATGAGGGGCACACCAGTGGTCAGGACAACTCTCGGACCTATGAAGAGGTCGTGCAAGAATTCATTGACCACTTCATCCAGCACATGCCAAAGATGTTTGGGGCGCTCCGCCCAAAACCCATTGAGTGGTCCGTGCCAGGCCACCCTTCAGTGCCTGAGGGCGTTCGCAGCAGCAGCCTTGGCAGCCAGTCCTTGGGATATCGTTTGCATCCAGCAGCGTCACACTTGCTGACTGGCGAAGGTGAGCAAGAAGGCCCTGGACCAAGAGTGAAGAACCCGCCAAAGTGCAAGCCTGCTCCACCAAGCCTGGGCGAAAAGCGGCGCCCGGGTAACTTGGAGAGGGCAACGGGCAACGCCAGCATGCCTTCAGCTGCTGTTCCAGCGGCATCACCTTCCACCCAGCGGGGAGCTACTTCGAAGGCCCCTTCCGCCACTGCTGAGACTATCTTCTCCCCGTACTTCGATGAAGAAAGCGTTGACTGGGGAGGAGAGGATGACCGGACGGCGGAGGAGAAGGCCGAAGATGAGGAGATCCTGAACAGGACACGGGAGAACATTGTAGCCTTTATGCAGGCCACTCCGGAGGTGAAGAAACAGCTCAGGACAGCGATGTGTCGACCGCCTCTGGGACGTGCGCATCAACCTTGAGCCCCACTTTGACAAGCCACATCCGGGTAAGTTCCAAGAGGACCTGGCAGCAGGATACTCCTTCGCGGAGGCCAAATACCTCCAGAAGCAGAGAGATCGCGCGGCCAGGCACCACGCATGGAAGGGGCGACATTCGAGGACCTACCCCAGACCCTGCGCACCTCTGAGAAGCCTAAGAAAGTCCTGATGCCTGGCTTCTTGAAGGCCAAGGGCGAAAAGCGGGCTCAGAGACGAGCTGAGAAGTGGAACCAAGGCAGAAGTCCACCCCAGCGCTCCGCTGGAACGGCCAGTGTTCAGCCAACCACTCCCCCCAAACACAGTCAAGGGCAGCCGACATCCCCACCCAGAACCGACCACCAAACAAGGGGCTCCCCCTTTAGAAGCAACCAGACCAGTTGGGATTGGTCCAGCTGGCAGTGGTCATGGAACAGCTGGGACTACCACCGTGGGGGATATCGCTGGCAAGCCGACCCACCTCGGGGAGACCCACAAGATGACGAAAGTTGGGGAACGTGGAAACCCGAGAATTCCGGCGATCCGCCAGAAGGGGACTATGCGCAGTGGTACCGCAACCCTGCTCACAGATGAAGAGCACAAGACTCCGCTAGCGATGACTCGCGGAGAAAAAGAACATCTGAGAGAGGGGAATTTTTGAGCTTATAATAATTCATTTCTTCATGGCAATATATACTCCATTGTTTTGACTAGTTCAACGGGAGGAAAGCCAGGTGAACCTTGGCACCTCTCGGGGTGATCTGCCGACGAGAAACGAGGCAGCCCATCATCGACAAAAAGGAGTCAGCCTGCATGCTCCGTTTTGGTAGTTGCCTTTTGGAACTAACTCGGTTTTTCGGTAGAATGTAGGGTTAGTGGAATTTGGCTTCACTTCTGGCTCAAGAATTTTGATGCCTTCCTACCACTTTAGGCCCTCCCACCCGCCCCAGGAGGAAAGCCAGGTGAACCTTGGCACCTCTCGGGGTGATCTGCCGACGAGAAACGAGGCAGCCCATCACCGACAAAAAGGAGTCAGCCTGCATGCTCCGTTTTGGTAGTTGCCTTTTGGAACTAACATATAATTAGTCGTAAAATATGGGCAATGAATCGAGCTTCAAGTCGATTCCACTTCGTCACGGAGTTGTGGGCAAATGTTTGTTAAGCTTTGACTTGGTTCCGTTCTATCGCTGGCATTAGCATGAGCCTGCTATTTTCCAAGCTGCTCGAGCTAGTAGGATCTGCTCGTCTACCTGCCACCAGTGTCAATCCTTCAAAAGAAGGCAAAAGTGGCAGTCAAACATGGTTTCTCGTGGTTTCTTATGGTCCAAGGCTAAGTTTAGAGCTGCGGACTGGGCCAATCAGGAAATCGAGCATCATGGTGTCATGCTCTACATGCGCAGCTTCAGATGACCAGGGACACGTTCATTGATCGGCTAAAGGCGAGGTTCCAAATTTTGACTGCAAGTCCTCTTCGGGATTACAAGTCGATACGAGCTGAAAAACATTCCAAAAAAATGACCGCATAATGTTGGTCTGAGTGAAACTCGGGACAAACCACTGGCGATCAACCCGACATTGTCAATTTGCTTGCCGGCATTTCCTTGGCCGATCTTGGCAGGCAAAATGGTGTGCAGGCCAAAAATCAAACCCTTAATCTTCCTGGACTTCCTGAGCTTGCGGCAGACTTGAAATGTCTAAATGTTTCACGGGCTTTGCGTACATTGACATCTCCTAAACACATTGTGGTCGGCACTATTCTCTACATCTTTGACATCCAAACCAGAGTTCTTCTCGGGATGAAAGTGAAGGGCTGCCCCGTGCATGTTTAAATCAGTCCATGCCGCTGCTAGAGCAAAAGAATTCGGCAACATCAACTTCTGCGCAAACCTACCTGCTTCAAAGGCTTGCTTTATGGGGGGTTGGAAAAATGCTTTGTGGCCAACGCTTGAGGTTGACAGCACACTCTTCGAGATTCGGAGACTGGTTAAAGTTATAGTCTTGGGGCAAATTTCAGTATGTCTGGTGACACATCTTTGTTTCGGAGTTTGCCAACTGCCAACCAAGAAAACGCAACCTCTAGCTAGCACATCAGGGAGGAAGATCCGACGACAAACTAAACCCGAACCCGTATATATGTCCGTTGGTCACAACATGGACCCTTCAGCCACCAATGCTGACGTTAACCAATCTCAAAGTTCTAGCCCACGCACAAACATCTAGACACAACAAAACAATCACAGCAATATATGTTCAGCAAAACTGTACAACCGATCCCAATTCTGTGGGCGCACTCCCATCCTTCTTGTCCTCCACGTGGTCCCACAATTCTTGAATTTCAGCATCGGACCATTGTTCCTGTCAAAGCGGGTTGCGCAAACCCCTGTGATGGCTCAGTGAACTGCATTAATACGCACTTTCTGTAAAAAAAAACTCTACCAGTGGTTGACGATTTTACCAAAACCAACCACTTGTTGAAGAAGTATAGTTCAACATAAAAAACTTGACCTGTTGTCCTACACACAACACCGAAATGGACCTAAATTGGACCCAAATAACGTCGGCAAACACAAGTTGGACTCGTCACAGGGGATCAAACCTGAAGCGCCCCGCGGTCACTCCGGTGAATCCCAAGATGATTCGGTGACCACATGCCCACGATACTTGAAAGCAAGTTGGGGAAATTGCACACCACTGATCAAAAACTGTCTAGTTGTTCATCTCAACTTTTCTAACCTAGCATTTGGCATTGAAGAGAACCAAACCCGCACAAACGTTCAGAAGGAAACCTGTTTGACACCCAACCAGTGCAAAACGCGAACCTCGTCGGCGAATTCCTTCAAATCGTCAAGCACAACATGCTGCACTGCCTCCTGCAGGGCCAACCCTCGAGCCCGAGTCTCCCCTGTTTCCCTCTCTGTCT